GAGCACTAGGCTGGTCACTCCTGGCAAACAGACCTCAGTTCTGTGCAGTAATGGGATCAGGTGTCTGGGCCAAGGTCTCTTTTTGCACTGGAGGGTTGTGCCAGGATTGTTACACTCCCAGATGGGTTGACAGGTCTGTGACTCAAGGGCATATGTTGGTCCCCAGCGCCATCAGAACCTGGCTCATCACACGCTTAGGAACCACATGTCATTTCAGCTCGCCTGGCCGTACCCCCTTGGGTGGACAGGACAGCTGCGCCCTGGCTTTGCCTTCTCCAGCTGAACACTCAGGCACATTTCCATCAGAGAGTACCAACTGTGGTGGAAATGTAGCTTTTTTTAAAAGGGGAGCAAGTATGTGAGAGGCTTTAATCTTTAGTTCAATTCTGTTTTAAACTCCTACCTCCCTTTTTCTTCAGTTTCCCAAGTTGCAGTGTAACAACTACAATAAATCCCAAATGGGTGGTTACGTGATTAAGTTTAAGGTCTTTGCCTTTTTTTTTTTTTTTTAAGATTTTATGTATTTTTAGAAAGAGGGAAAGGGAAACATCTTAATGTGTGGCTGCTTCTTACATGCTCCCTACTGGGGACCTGGCCTGCAACCCAACATTGTGCCCTAACTGGGAATCAAACTGGGACCCTTTGGTTTGCAGGCTGGTGCCTCAATCCACTGAGCCACACGAGCCAGGGCTTTATTTTGCCATGTTAATACACACTTCTGTGTCCCAACTTTTTTGAGAGGGAAAGGGAGGGAGAAAGGGAGATAACATGGATGTACCAGAGCTACATCAATTGGTTGCCTCACATGCACACCCCCTATTGGAGACTTGGCCCACAACCCAGGAACGTGCCCTGAATGGGAATCAAACCGGCAACCTGTCAATTCACAGGCTGCACTCAATCCACTGAGCCATACCAGCCAGACCAAAGTTTTGAGGGAAAAATAAAGATGTGCATTATACATGGGTATAATGATTACATGTCATGGCTATATAATACCATGTATAATGGTGCACAAAACTTCGGATGCGGATTTTGCCCGGCAAAATTTGATAAATACCTCTCTGGATGTGGAGTTTGAACATACTAGGAAAGGATGTCAATGGTAAGAGTGTTCTCCTAGCAGCAAAGTTCACTCCCTCAATATCTGCCACAGCACTGGGGTCCTGGTCTCAGGAGCATCAGTCTGAGGAGTTGTGGTTTCCAGAAGCAGTGAGAATGTGGGAGGCCTCAGGCCCAAATGATGAATGTAATAGTTTCTAGTTTGTGACACAAACCCAACAGTAACTGGAAACTAAAACGTCAACTCCCCCGTGGACTGGAGTGTGGGGCCTCACAAAGCTTATTCCCAGTTTTGATGAGGGAGCAGGTTTGAAGCACTGAGCGTGAATGTGTAAGTGCACAGATACATGCATGCCCACTTAGAGCCGCCCACGGCTCTGGCCATCCTGCCCTTGTCTAATCCAGTGTCTTAACTCTGATGTCAGGACTCCTCTTTTTTAAGAGAAATACCAATTTGTGGTTTCACTAACGTGCATTCATTGGTTGCTGCTTGTATGTGCACCAACTGATAAAACCCACAACCTTGGCATATTGGGACAGTGCTCTAACCAACTGAGCTACCCAGCCAGGGCCTGGACCCACATCTTTGACAAGGCTGAAAACAGTCCTACACCAGGAGTCTCTCCTGTCGTCCTAGACCTTGGATCAAAAAGCTCTCCCTAGTGCAGAGGGAATAAAAGAGGCAAGTGAGTACAGCCTTGTCATGTGTCCCACTGGTCACTCCTATGGGCAGGAAGATGGAGTTTAACTCCAGTGGGCTTTTTTAAAATCCTCACCCAAGGATACAATTACTGATTTTAGAGAAAGAGTAACATTCAACCAGTTGCTTTCCATATGCAAACCTGCAACCTTTCAGTAAAAGGGATGATGCTGCAACCAAATAAGCCACACCAGGGAGGAGTAATGTAATGCAATGTAAACATTCTCAGCACAGGGGTGGAAGTAATGGAAATGATGGTCTTTGATGCTCCACCATAGGGTTTCTTTTTTTAAATTCTGAGTTATACTGCACATGATGTTTGCCTGAAGGACTTTTGAGTTTTTGTGACAGCTAAAGTTTCATAATCCTTAGCAAAGTATAATAAACAGGTATGCCAGTGCAAGGTTTTTTGGGAAGTGGATGTGGGCAGGAGTCACTTGTATTTATTCTAAATCTCTGATAATGTAAAACCAAAAAGTTGACCACCAAACCAAAATAGAAGTTCCAATAAACACAGGCTGGAATCACTGGCTATACATGGTGTTACAAGAACATTTTAGATCTGAAGGATAATGAAACGGATGACGGGTTGGCTGTATTTTTCTTTTGGCCCCTCAGTCCTGGTTTTCCTGCATTATCTAGTCCAGCAGTGGAGCAGGGTGGAAACTTGGGTAAGTGCAGCAAGGTAACCCTTTGTTAAGTGGGAAGAAGCAAAGGATGAGACATCTGCTCCTTGGACTTTACTTCTTATGGATAGGCAGTCCTCCCCAACTGGGTGCTATAGTTTTGCCTCTGGCCCTCCATCTCCACCAGAAGCAAGGGCTTTAAGGCCTGGGGGAGTGTGGTGAGACTCCAATGGGTTTTTCCCACTGGGCTGTCTCTTAGCCTCCAGTCTCCATCCTGGAGTGGTAGGTTTTTCTGAAGTGCTTTCAGGCTTGGTTCCCCATTGAGTGTCTTTGCCGTAGCACACAATATTACAGATGCAGGTTTTAAGTACAGAGGGAGCAACCCACCCAGGCCCTGAAATGAAAAATTTCCTGTTGAAAATGTGTTTTCAGAGGTTGACAGTTTCAAATTTTATTCATAACATGAGCTCTGAGTTTACTTTGGTAATGTTACCACTGTTTTCCTAGGTGCTTTTATTTATTTATTTTGCTGGTTCTTAATTTTGTTATTAAGGCATTCCTGCCTCTCGCAGTGAGTGCTAACTGCCTTCTCCAACAACCAGCTTGGTTTCACCTGGGCAGGTACAGAGCTGACAGAAATTAAACCCAAACCAGTCTACCTGTGACACATTGACTGCTGCCCTATGCTCTGACGCTGGCTGCAAAAAGCACACTTACGGGGTGCTTTCTTAGGGGCTTTGCACTCAGCCCTCAAGTGAGTCTTTGCTGATTCAGTCACAGGCTTCTTGGCAGACCTCCAGTTTCTCCAGCTAATGAATGGAATACTCACACCTGGTTCTGAGACTTTGTCCCTCCCTAAACCAAGCCATGGCCATGGGGTGGGAGGATACCTTGGCTCATTGCTCATGCAGATTCACTAGTGAAGGGCAGAAATAAGCATGTGCTGTACCCCAGGCATTGGATCAAACCTGTGACAAGGGCAAAGAGGTGAAGAAAAGAGTGACAATCCTGACTGGTGTGGCTCAGTTGGCTGGGTGTCATCCCACAAAGCAAAAGGTTGCTGGTTTGATTCCCCATCAGGACATTTGCTTGAGTTGTGGGTTGAGACTGATTGATGTTTCTCTCTCTTCCTCTTTCTCTAAAATCAATAAACATATCAAGTGAGTATTAAGGAAAAAAGAATAGTGACAGAGGAGGTAAGCTTGGTAGGCAAAGTCTTGAATGAAAAGGAGAAACATTGCTGGGAGTGGGAACAGTCAGTGAAAAGTCTCAGAGGTAAGACCAAGGTGGGAAATAGGGGTGAGGATGTGTCTTTTATTCTGAGTGCAATGCCAACCCTTCCAACAACTGCAAGGTTGAGTTCCTGACCCCGTTTTCCAGGTGCAGAGCCTGAGGTATGGTCCAGGTAAGGAAAGGCACCCTTCTAGGGCAAATCAAAGGGTTGGGTTTTCTGCCTCAGTTCAGATAGGAACAAGCCAGGACTAAGAGGCAAGGCACTTCCCCTCTCTCAGCCTGTGGGGCCACAGCCCATTTAAAAGGGATGAGAGGAGAGCTGACACATAATCCCCAGGTGCCTGAGAGCCATGGAGGATGAGTGAGCAAGGGAGGGACATGGTGAAACCCACAAGCTGACCAGCCTCCTTAGAGATCGGTCACGGGCCTCAGGTGGAGCAGGTAGAATTAAGATTTAGGGAGACACTTCCCATACCAGTAATCTCATTGTAGCAAAATAACCCCCACACTCCCTCAGGTCATGTGCAGTCCCCTCTCCAGACAATACACTTTTACCTCTCCACCTCCTCTCCATTCCAGCCACAGGAGCTTCCTGGCATTACTCAAAACACACCAGCTCCATCCTGTTTGGGAACTCAAGAAACACTTCCTGCTGTTTCCAGTGTTGATTCCTTCAGAGTTCCACTCAGATATCTCCTTCAGTCCCTCCAGTGTCACCCCCAACCTAGCATTTAGCACAACTGACAATTTTTAAAAGATTTTCATGCAACTTTTTGACTTTTCACTTGCCCCCTTACTGAGGGCAGAGATGAATCTAAGCCTCTCTGCTAAGTCCGAAAGTTTGGTGCAAAGCAGGCGTTGTACCAAATAAATGCATGAATGATGACTGAACGAATCAACTTGCCCGACAGACTTATGCCACACCTTTAACTCCCCACACCATTAGCCTAAGGAAGGGCCCTCACTAAGAGGTTCCACCATCTTCCCACCTTCAGCCATATCTGGGTTCAAATCCCAGCTGTGTTCTGGGGCACGTGACATACATGTGGGCCTTAATTTCCTCGTCTGTGAACGCTCAGTTGACGTCAACACCGCACCTTCTGAAATACTAGAAAGATGCTGGGCCCTTGCTGCCCAGCCCAGCATCTCCATTCCCAGGACCATCACGACGCCGGGGATGACCCTAAAGCCCCTCTGGCTCTTCCAAGGATGGGAGGGGAACGGCAAATGGTCTGAGTTTCAATCCTCCCAACTCCCTTTTGAGAACTGTAGCAAGAACCTTCACAAACCTTTCTGTAAAATGGAGCGCCCGCGCCTGCCTTCCGGGGAGAGACCCCCTCACCCCACTCCGTAAAAGGTGGCCATCGCTAGAGCCCAGGTGCGACACAGAGCGAGTTTATTGCAAGTTACAACCAGGGTGGCGCCCTGAGGGCGCCGTCCCGCGACCGCCTCAGCCACAAGCCGAGAACCGACGCATTCCCGGTGCTTGCCCTCGCAGGCAGCTGCTCAAGGCAGCCACCTCCGGCAGCACAACCGCCGCTCATTCCGCGCAGGCGCAATGCTTCTGCATCCTGTGGTCCCGCCCCTTCCCGGGGCTTTTTTGCAGGGAATCGAGGATGCGCATGCGCTCTCCCGCTCTTCAAATCGCGCAGGAGGAACTATACTCGAAACCGGGGCGATCACGGTCTCGCGGTCGAGGAAGAGGAAAACGGGGAAAGGATGATTGGCGCATGGCGGCTTCACAGGACTCTGGAAACAGAGCGTCTGCGCCGCGCTTGCGCAGTGCTTGGGGAGACGGGAATTGGGAGGGGGGAACCCCGGCTTTTAACCGGAGTCTCCAGCGCGCAGCCAGCCGTTGCGCACTACCTGGCCCGCCGAAGGTCTGGCCGACGGGCTGAACTGCAGCAATTCCGTAATCAGGGCCTTGCAGCGCTCAGACAGCTCGAGGCCGTTGGGGTAGAGGACGCCGCGCTTCTGGCGCCTTGGCAGGCCAGCGATGTCTGAGTCGTCGAAGGGCATGCATCCGGTGACCATGACGTAGAGCACGACGCCTAGGCTCCACACATCGTACTTCTTGGGGTCATAGGGGATGCCCAGGAGAACCTCAGGCGATGCGTAGGCTGCCGAGCCACAGTAGGTGGTGCTCAGGTCAGGGTAGCCATGGGCCTGGCGGCCAAAGCCAAAGTCGGTGAGCTTGACGCGGCGCTCGTCAGGGCTCAGCAACACGTTTTCGCACTTGAGGTCGCGGTGCACCAGGTGGTGGTCGTGCAAGTAGCGCACGGCACCGGCTATCTGTGCGAAGAGGTCGCGCGCCTGCCCCCCGGGGATGCGCCCGTTGCGCTGCACGGCCTGCAGCAGGTCGGTGGCGGCTGCCTCCATCACGATGTACAGCTTCCCGTTGCACACCTCGATGAACTCGAAGACGTGCACAATGTGCGGGTGCCGCACGCCTCGAAGGATGGACAGCTCGCGCGGCAGGAACTTGTTGACGAAGTCTGGCGGTGCGCGCCGCCGGTCCACCACCTTAATGGCCACCGTGCCCTTGTACTTCTTCGATGTGGCCACCTTCACCTTGGAGTAACTTCCCTCACCTATTGTGCGGCCCAGTTTATAGCCGAGCTCGCTCAGGAGTTTGTCGCCCGACATGGCGCCTAGGGCGCGCGGGGAGCAGGAGGCGGCTGCTGTCGAGGGGCGGCCGGACTCCAATCTCGGGCCTAACCCATGGTGCTTGGCACCTGCACACCTGCACCCCCATGTGCCCACTCCTCGGCCCCCTCCGCCGCGGTGCCTTTTATTGCCCAGGTAACAATTTCTGCCTTGTGAAGTGACCACGGGCGTCACCTCACCTCGGGGTGGGGGCCCCGCGGCCGTCACCCCGCCTAAGGAAGGAAGCCCCCCAAGGCGTTAGGGCTTTGTGACTCATAATCGCTCTGAATGGTCCAGTTCCCGATGAGAGGCTACTAACAAGGAAGGGCTCCCTACCACTACCGAGGAGCAGAATCCGTGCCTGGGGTTGGGATGGCTCCTCGCAAGTCCAAATACAAGCAGCAGCAGCCCCCACCCAACTTCTTGTACCCAGCCCGCACAAACCCGGAGGGGGAGAAAACGAATAAGGGGGCTTAGCTCGGTGAAACGGCTCCCTCGGCAGTTTGATTGCCCTGCACACCGCCTCAGGGAGAAGGTGAATGGGAGGTCGTTTGATACAAGGACCCGGGTGACCCGACGGCGTCCAGAAGTCCGTACCGACTGAGCCACGCCCCATCTTGGAGAAGAAGAAATAACAATTCCTTGGCCGCATCGGGAGTCGCAGCCTGAGCTCCCCGGCACTAAACAGTCGCTACACCAGTGCCCTAGGTTCCCTGGCCCTGCTCTAGACCTGCGCGATAGCTTCCGCCACACTCATTGTGGCGGCGGCAGCTGGCACGTCACTTCCGCCCAAGACCGGAAGTGCAGAACTCTGTGAACATGGCGGCCTCGAAGGTGAAGCAGGACATGCCCCCGCCGGGGGGCTACGGCCCCATCGACTACAAACGGAACCTTCCACGTCGGGGACTATCGGGTCAGTGTCCGTCTGCGCCGAGTGTCAGGATCTGGGACTTTTGGGTGCCGCATCGGGAGCGGGACGCTGGGGAAACTAAAAGGCCTCAGTCTACCTGCAATGTGATGAGAGGCGGAGTCTGGGAATCCTACATGGTGTCAGTGGTAATAAGGATAACTGCAGCAATTTGTCGAACAATTACTAAATCTTTTAATTTCTTCTCTTAACAGCTCTGAAGTCAGTCTTGTTAATTATTCCCATTTCACAGTAGGTTAAACGGAAATTAGTATAGTCTGCGTTCCTAGCCCTGTTCCGCGCTTCCATTTTACAGGTGGGGGAAACTGAGGCCCAAAGGAGGCTGCGACCTTCCCCACCAGGACCACCTGTAGCAAAGCGGGGGCCAAACCCTGGGACATCGAAGGAATTTAAAAGCTATTCTGTGTGGTGGATCCTCGCTGGTGACCCCACCTGCAGGATATCCCAGGAATATGTATTCTTAAACTTTTCAAATGTTTTAAATAATTTAAAAAAAAATTTGAGGTTGGGTTTGTCACAGAAAAATGTGACAAAGGAAGTAAAAGGCACTCATACTCCACACCCAGGATTAACAAAGAAATACAAAGAAATTTAAAACATGTTAAGGGTGGCCCTAGCTGGTGTGGCTCAGTGGATTCAGTGCCAGCCTGCGAACCAAGTGGTCCGTGTTTCCATTCCCAGTCAGGACTCATGCCTGGGTTGCAGGCCAGGTCCTCAGTAGGGGGCATGTGAGAGGCAACCACACATTGATGTTTCTCTTCCCTTTATTTCTCTCTCCCTTCACTTCTCTCTAAAAAATAAATAAGTGAAATCTTAAAACACACACACATTAAGGGTCGATACATTTGCAGTAAATCATGAAACTTTACATTTAAAATATGCCTATCATGCAAATTATGTCTTAATTTTTAAAAAATTCATGGACATGGTAAAAAAAAGTCATGATTCAGACAGCAGGAAAGTTAATGTTTGGTGAAAACACATATTCTCCCTCCCTTTCTTGGCTTTTTTGTATTCCAGAACAGAAGTTGGTGAACATTTTTTTAAAGATTTTATTTTTATTTATTTCTAGAGAGAAGAGAAGAGAGGGAGAAAGAGTGGGAGAGAGAAACACTAATTGGTTGCCTTTCGTCTGCCTGGAACCTGCAACCAACCCAGGCTTGTACCCTGACTGGGAATCGAACTGGCAGCCTTTTTTTTTTTTTTTTTGCAGGGTAGCACCCAACAAAACTGAGCCACACCAGTCAGGTAGGCAATTTTTTTTTTTTTAAAGGACCAGATAAATATTTTATGCTTTACCTGGTTGGTGTGGCTCAGTGGATTGAGCGCCAGACTGCAAAGCAAAGGGTCACTGGTTCGATTCCCAGTCAGGGCACATGCCTGGGTTGCAGGCCAGGTGCCCAGTAGGGGGTGCATGAGAGGCAACTACACATTGATGTTTCTCTCCCTCCCTCCCCCTCTCTCTAAAAATAAACAAAATCTTTTAAAATACTCTTTAAGGTTTTATTTATTTACTTTTAGAGAGAGGGGAAGGGAGGGAGAAAAAGAGGGAGAGAAATACCAAGTGTTGCTGCCTCACGTGGCCTCCACTGGGGACCTGGCCCACAACCCAGGCATGTGCCCTGACTGGGAATCGAACCAGCGACCACCTGGGTCGCAGCCTGTTCTCAATCCACTCAGCTACACCAGCCAGGGCAATAAAATCTTTTTAAAAAAATATTTTATGCTTTATTGGCTAGAGGGCCACTGCTGCTGCTATTTTTTTTTTAAACAACTGTTTACAGATCTAAAAGTGTTACCCCAAGGGCCATACAGAAACAGGTTACAGGCCCATTAAACAGAGTCCCTGGTTCCATTCCCAGTCAGGGCACATGTCTGGGTTGCAGGCAGGTCCCTGGTGGGGATCAAGTAAGGCAACCAACACTGATGTTTCCCTCTTTTTCTCCCTCCCTTTCCCTCTGTCTCAAAATAAATAAATAAAATCTTTAAAAAACAAACAAAAAAAAACAGGTTACAGGCTAGATTTAGCACCATGTGGGCACTCAACTCATCCTGGAGCAGATTGAATGAATCTAATATGATCTGAGTCTCTTCCTTTTTTGTGTTGTAGTATAACATAACACCCAGACCAGTGCACCCTGCAGGTGTGCCATACGAGATCTGTTTACACATGTGCACCTGTGTGACCTGTACCCAGACCAGGCTACAGAAGGATTTCAGCCTATGGGCCTCTTTGGGCTCTCCCCAATCAGCATGGTTTTCTTTTTTTTTTTTTAATAAAGTCATAAACCGATGCTTTATATTGGTCCTCTTTCTGTTCATGTCACAGCTGTACCTCCCATGGGTCCTAAGTGCCATTCCCTGGGGTTGGCTCTCCTGATTGCATCCCTTTACACCAAATGCCATGGTAGCATATACCAACCCACCCCAGTATTTTCTTGGCTGCAGAGGTGTGAGAAAAATACCCCTCTGGTGCTGTGGTCTTTGTTTATGAACCTGCATTTGTTCATTAAATAGTTCAGTGTGCACATGGCTATGGGCCCTGTCTCAAAGCGTTCACTGTCACATCATGCCAAAATTCCATTGTGGTAAATGGTGAGGCCTGGGCTAACCAGGGCCTGCCTTAGCCAGGGTGGGTCTAAGGAACCTCTCTGAGGAGTTCCCTGGGTGGAGGAAACAACAAGTGCAAAGGCCTGTGCTCTGTCCTGCACCGCCCCCCCCCATCTTGTCTTCTTGGCCTCCTTCCAGCCATGCCTGTTTTGAACCGTGGTCCACAGCACCTCCCTCCCCATCAGTCTTATCCTCCCCTGCTCTTGTCAAGGTACTGTTGCCCCAAGCCGGGAACCAACTGCCATTATCTCTCCCTGGACCACTCACTGCCAACATCCCAAAATATGCCACACTAGCTCAGGCTGCCTTTAATCCACACTGCTCCCAAAGTGATTGCTACCCCCACATCCCCTCATCTCTTACACCTAGCTCCTCTCTGCATTCCCTCTTGTGCCCACTGTATGGCTCCTTTTTTTGTTGAGATTCCATACCATATATTTCACCCTTTTTTTGTGTGTACAAATCACTGTTTTTAGTCTACTCACAATTGCACAACCATCACCATGGTGTAAGATTATAGCACCTTCATCACCCCAAAAAAGAAACCCCATACCCATTAGCAGTCACTCCCCATTCTCCCTCCACCCTCTGACAACCATTAATCTGCTTTCTTTCTGGATTTTTTTCTTCTGGACATTTTATATAAATGCAATCATTCACTGTGTTTTTTTTGGTGTCTGGTTTTTTTCAGCACAGTATTTTTAATGTTCATCTAGCATGTGTCACTGCTTCATTCCTTTTTATGGCTGAATAATATTGTATGGGTGGACCACATTTTGTATATCCGTTTCCCACTTGATGCACCTTTGAGGTTTTTCTGCCTCTCCCCTGTTGCGAACAGTCATGCTATGACTGCACATGTACAAGTGTCTATGTGGCACATGTTTCATTTCTCCTTAGGTGAAATTTCACCAGGTATGTAATTGCTGGGTCATGATAACTCCACATTTAACATTTTGAGGAACTGCCAAACTGGTTCCCACATTAGCTGTCCCATTTTCTGTTCTTACCTACAGCATATGGGAGTTCAAATTTCTTCACATCTGGACACCAACTATTTTTTATTTTTTTGAGTCTCACATCCTGGTGGGTATGAGATGGTATCTCATTGTGGTTTTAATTTGCATTTTCTTGGTGACTAATATGTTGGGCATCTTTTCTTGTGTTTATTGGCTATTCGTATAGCTTCTTTGGAGAAAGTCTATTCAGATCATTTGCATATTTAAATAATTTTTAAAAGATTTTATTTATTTAGTTTTAGAGAGGGAAGGGAGAAAAACATTGATGTGTGGTTGCCTGTCATGTGCCCCCTACTGGAGACCTGGCCTGCAACCCAGGCATGTGCCCTGAGTGGGAATGCAAACAGCAACCCTTTGGTTAATAGGCTTCTGCTCAATCCACTGAGCCACACCAGCCAGGGCCATTTACACATTTTTAAATTTGGTTGTTCGTTTTGTTATCATTGAGTTTTAATAGTTCTTTATAATAATTTTAGATACTCTTCTCAGATACATGATATGCAGATACTTTCTCCCATTCTGTGGGTTATCTTTTCAGGTCCTTTTGCAGCACAAAAGTTGTTTTATTTTAAGATTTCATGTATTTATTTTTAGAAAGAGGGAAAGGGAGGGAGAAAGGGAGGGAAGAGAAACATCAATGTGAGAACCATTGATTGGTTGCCTCTTGTATGTGCTCTGACCAAGGACTGAACCATTAACCCAGGCATGTGCCCTGACCAGGAATGGAACCAGTGACCTCCTTGCAGAATGACACCCAATCAACTGAGCCACTAATGTCAATGAAGTACAATTCATCTATTTCTTCTTTTGTCTCTTGTGCTTCTAGTGTCATATGTAAGAAACCATTGCGTCATTCAAGGTCACAGAGACGGACTCCTAAGAATTTTTAAGTTTTAGCTTTTACATTGAGTTCTTTAATTCATTTTGAGTTAATTTTTGTAGATGGGAGTAGGAAGGAGCACAGTATTCTTTTGCATGTGGCTATCTAGTTGTTCAATTTGCTGAAAAGACTATTCTTTCCCCCATTGAATTGTCTTGGCATCCTTGTATAAATTCAATTGAC